CATCCATACATGACCACTGGAAAAACCATAGACTTGACTAGATGGACCTTTGTTGGCAAAGTAATGTCTCTGCTTTTTAATATGCTGTCTAGGTTGGTCATAACTCTCCTTCCAAGGAGTAAGCGTCTTTTACTTTCAAGCCTGCAATCACCATCCACAGTGATTTTGGAGCCCAAAAAAATAAAGTCTGACACTGCTTCCACTGTTTCCCCATCTATTCCCCATGAAGTGATGGGACCAGATGCCATGATCTTAGTTTTCCGAATGTTGAGCTTTAAGCCAACTTTTTCACTCTCCTCTTTCACTTTCATCAAGAGGCTTTTTAGTTCCTCTTAACTTTATGCCATAAGGCCCATATCTGGGCCACAGCTAGTTTATTCTTCAGTAACGCTAACTTATCCAAGCATTGCCACAGATTAGTACAAGCCCACGTGCGCATGTCCAGCACTCAGTGGTTGACTTCCTCTCTTCCAGATCCCATTCACACTAAAAGATGAAGCACAAACCCGCGGAGGAGGAACTTGCTCACTGCTCCACTACCCCTGGGTGCCTGACTCCAGTGAAGCACTCACCAGCGCTGCAAGGGGTCCAGAGTATATTTTTGCTGCTTCAGTCCCCAATGCCTTCCAGCAGAAGTGGCAGTAGACTGTTGCCTATCCTCCAGTTCAGGCTTGTCCTGAGACAACAGGGAAACGTATCAGCTGGGTTTCAATGGAACATGGCAGCAGGGACCTTCAGCGGATGCGATGTATACCCCGTCCGAGCACATGTGTATCTTTCCCCCTTCCCCACCTGCCCCACCTGCTTAGGTCTTCTCTGCCTCTCTCCTGCTACCACACAGATGATATAAAAGAGGCTCTTTGGCTATTTGCATTTTGCTTCCTCTTCTTTTCCAGATTTTGCAGTATTAAGCTTTACCTCCTACAAGCCTAGAATCTCAACAACATTATCTACCAAAGCTGTTCTTCCCTTTCCAGAGGGTTTGGGGGAAGGGGGGGGGCTTGCATCACAAGTTTCCTGGGGCGTAAAGACAAAGTTGGTGTGCCGCTGACCACATGAGCCACGGTAAATGCACCCTTTGGAATTAACTGATTTCTAAAATTAATAAAGTAAGTCTATTTTTATTTTTTTTTCCATTTACTAATTTCCCAACAATCAGTATTCACAAACAAGACTGACATGGGACCAACGTCTCATATTATTTCATTGCTGGGCAATTTTTTAAAGTTCGGTTAAGAAATGTGAGCTCTGAAGAGATGTTTTACATTTGGTTTCAGCAGATGGTGGGTCCAGGCTCTTCCCCAAGGGAAGTTCCAGCACCTGGGTCTCCATTAGCAGACCACAGCAGACGGGTCCTCCCATGGCATGTGAGTTTGTATCCAGTTGCACAGTGTCTGCCTAAACAGTTCATCAGAATGATGCAGCTCAGCCCCTCGCTGCTTCCTGCTTACCCTCTGCTTTCATGCTCCCTCATCCATCCTAGGCGGACCCTAGCCAGGTCCTGTCTCTGGCTTCCACTGGAGGAAAGGCTAAAAGGTGGCCGCAGAGCCCACTGAAGGTTGACTTAGCTGCCGCAGGAAGTTATTGGAGGAGAATCCAGCATCTGGCGTTTCTACAACAAGGTGGTAGAGATTTAGCACTGAAATCCTGAAAAAAAAAAAGACACCCAGAAAGGCGGAGAGAAGAGGGGCTCTGTTGCCTTCCTTCTTGGTGAAAGAAAACAGGTTTGAGCACATAGAAGCCTTCTCTTTCTTCTTGAGGGATGAAGTCTGTCAGTTGCAGGAGAAAAGAGAGAATGCATTCCAGATGTTCCTGAGACTTCAGGTTAGTAGTTTGAGGACCATCTTAACTGTTTTGCTAATTTGGTTGTGAATTGATTAGTAGACAAATTAGAATTCCCCCATAGTCCGTTGCTGATGTGTAGAATTGGGAAATAAGGTGTTTGGGGTGACATACCATACAGATTTTATAAAAGAGCATAGGAAGGTATGAGTCCAGTAAAAGAACTTTTTGACCAACTAGAGTGTTTGGAATTGCCCTAGGTAACCATCAGAATTGACTCCTCAGGCTAATTGCTTATTGCATTCACCATGAGCTGATCAAGTGTAAGACCAGAACTCCAGGTCTCTTCCTTCATTTACCAAAGTATTTTAATGTCCTTATTATTGGTACTGGACTTCTCTTGGTAACAAACTGAGCAAATCACATGATCCTCCTTCTTTACCCTTAAAGAGTGGAGGCTCTCTTTACCCTTCCCCCAAAGAGGCACATATTTCAAAAGATGGACAGAAAAATGGTTTAGGTTTCTGCAGTGCCTATAAGTGACATGTGGAACGGGGAGGCTGGGCTTCAGACCCCAGGCCATATTTGTATCAGCTAAGGTAAGAATAGAGCCCTAACACAGAAAGAAGATTTGGAATCACAACGGGGCTGTTTTTCTTTGGGATCCTTCAGGAAACACTGCTCACGGCCTTGGTTCATTAGGGTGAAACACAGACACCAGTGTTCTAGTGAAGCCTAATGAGGTTGGATAAAAAGGAGGGTTTGGAACTTCCCTGGTGGTCCAGTGATTAAGAGGTTAAGACTCCATGCTTCCATTGCAGGGGCTTGAGTTTGATCCCTGGTTGGGGAACTAAGATCCCACATGCCATGGTTTGACCAATAAATAGCCATGGATTCAGGGGGCGGGTATTCTAGGGCCTGTAAGATTATTTCCCTCTTCTCAGTTAAGCCTCAAGGACCAACAATATCAGCTACAAGCACTGCTTCTCAAAATACAGTTTCTAGGTAGGCTGGACCTAACCTAGCCGTAACAACATCTCTAAAGCTGCAGCCTGAAATTACATGTTTTAAATAAGCACTTGGGTGATTCTTACACCCACTGAAATTTGAGAAGGACTGCCATCAATGAACAGACTGAAAATCTGGGCTGGCTGTGGCCATGGCTGATGAGCTAGGCATGCTGCATCTCCTCTCCAGACCCATGGGCTCCCTTGGGTAAGACAGAGGACAATCCCACCCGCTCTGATATTACAGCCAGGACATACTTCCTGAAATAGTGTGGAAGTAAATGGGTGTCACATGGGATGGAGTGTGAGAGAGGAGCCCTCAGAATTGGCTGGGCATAGACAAAGCAGGAAAAGAGTCTCAGTGACCAAATTCAGGAGTTTAATTTGGGACAACTCAAGAAGGAGCAAAGTGAACACACACAGAGACAGACACATACACACAGGCATCAACATATTGTACACATCCTACACCCTCAAATTCTAGCTTCAGAAAGACTTTTTTTTTTTTTAACCAGTGGTAATTTCAATAGAGGAACATGCTAGATGGTTCCTCACTTATTGTAGCTGGTTGTTTCAGGTGGACATGAAACCACAGTAGAATTGTGCATTGCTCTGGCATCCGTGACCTCACATGAGAACTATGAGGTTGTGCTTTTCTTGCCTTCTTCCATTCCAAAAATCCCTGACAAGAGGCCCATCCTCCAAAAAGGAGTCCCTGGTGAGCTCATCTAGGGTCCACCTGAGAACAGAATTAGCCTCATATTCATAGACCATTTGCCACAGACAGTTTCTCTAATTCTCACCTGAATTTATAGTGAATGTACAAGCCAACACATTTCCATATGCAAAAATCCACCAAGTGATTTTTGCCCGCAGTTAAATGGAGGTCAAATGGAGATGATTTCTGCCCGAATCTCAGCCACCGCCTCCAGCCCCATGAATTCCCTGAACAGTGCAGGCAGTGGGAAGAGGGCAACGCAGTGCGCACCATCCAGGGAATTCAGTCAGCGGTGTCTTAGTGTTTCAGAGTCTCGGCCCTCAGATTCCAGTTCCCTCTGATCATTAGATGTGGATACGGAATTAAGGATAAATTAAGGATACCTCGTGAGTCAAGACTTACACCTTAGAATAAGGCTTTTATTGTTTAAAAACAATCTTCCAGAAGATGAAACGATCCAAGATTCCCCAAAAATTTATACAAAGATTTTGAGAGTAATATTTGTATTTGTCTTTATACCTCAGTCTATGCGTCTGGGGCCAAGTCATTGTGTGGCACGTGTGCGACTTCCCTGCATGCCTCTCACGTTGTAGCACCTGCTTCCAGGAACACCAGATGAGCACAGGGTCTCGGGGTGGGGGGGTGGGGGTCAGGAGGGGAAACTCATGATGCCCCAAGGCTGCAGAGACCCAAACTCCAGTCATGTGTGCCCTGACCTGGAAGGTGTCTAGCCAAATGTCCAAGGAGAAATAACAATCAAGGAAGAAGGCGAGAGGAGGAACCCAAGGAGCAGACCAGAGAGGGTCAGTTCCCACCCTCTACCTCAGAGTTCTGCACATCCTTTGGGCCCAATATAGTTGATGACCCCTGGGACCTGTGTTACCTGGATCTTCTCCTGGAATGGCCCTCGATACTGATTGACGTCCAGGGGAAAATTTGCAAAACTAATAGACTTGTCCTTAATCCCAGGTAAGTACGAGATACAATTCTGGGACTTTTGTCTTGGGAACCTGCCTAAAGAAAGATGCTTGCCTGGTATGACGTGATCCGGATGCCCCTCGAGCAGATGTGGGGCAGCAATGGATGAGCAATCTGACCTCAGCGCCAAGGGACTTCCAGTCTGGCCCTGTCCAGGCCGTTCTCCGCCCCACCTTGCCCCGTAGGGTGTCCCGAATCCCGTGAACCCTGCGATGCGTCGACTCAACCACCCCTCTTCCTCCGTCCCCACTACCTCTGACACAGAAAATCCATGTCTCCTGAAGAAATCGACCTTCCCCTAAACCAAACCCACACTTGCTTTACTACAGTGATTCTCAGAGCCAGCAAGAAAAAGAAATGTTCCAGAAGGGGAACCCCCATCTCAGCCATCATCTGCCTGGAGCCGGAGGTCGCAGGCCCCAGGCCTTGCGGTGAGGTCCGTCGCTGCTGTGTTTCCCGAGGGGCAGGCAGGCAGGCAGTGGTAATCCCTCCTCTCTCCCTGTGGCGGTCGGGCCTCAGCTGCACTTGCAGGACTTCACCACCATGTTAGACAGCTGCTCCACTTTGGGGGTCCTCCCGACATAGTACAGGATGGTCAGGGGCTCCAAGTCCTGGGGTACGCAGCAAGGGGAGGCTGAGGCTTCAGGGTTCAGGGTGTTGTACAAGCCCAGCACCTGGGGAGGGAGGCATCAGAGAGGCTGGGAAAACGGAGCTTTAAGCCGGGGCCCAGGGACCCTACAAGGTCTTGGGGCTGCTCCAGAGTCTGTGTGCTTAGTCACTCCGTCATGTCCAACTCTTTGCAACCCCAAGGACAGTAGCCCACCAGGCTCCTCTGTCCATGGAGTTCTCCAGGCAACAGTACTGGAGTGGGTTGCCATTCCCTTCTCCAGGGGGATCTTCCTGACCAAGGGATCAAATCTGGGTCTCCTGCATTGCCAGCAAATTCTTTACCATGAGCTACCAAAATGGGCCACTGATGGTATTTCAGAGGACCTGGCAGAACCCAGTTTGGGTGAGTGGCAGGTTGCCACTCATCCACAGGGAATGCAACACACAGTATTGATCTGAGCATTACTGGTTTAAGCATGACCCCAATAACCAGGGGACTTGGAACTGATCATGAAATTCTCTTGGCTGGGAAGAAACATGCCTGTGTTGGTTCCTCCTAGCTGTAACTGGTCACTTTGGTGAGGAGCTATGAGGAAATATCCTTGACAAGTTACTGCCCTCTCTCAAGATCCCCCTGGAGAGAAAGAAGAGCTAGCTTCAGTTGTGGACTTCCCTCTCTCTCTCTCGTTTCTTCCCTTTGTTTCATGTTGGTTTCTTCTGTGTGTTTTACATTATCTTTTAAAATAACTTCTACATTCAAGAGAAAAGAATTATTAGAGTTCTTTATCTGATCACAGATGGAAATGGCAACCCACTCCAGTACTCTTGCCTGGAGAATCCCGTGGACAGAGGAGCCTGGTGGGCTGCTGTCCATAGGGTCGCACAGAGTCAGACACGACTGAAGCGACTTAGCATGCGTGCATGCATTGGAGAAGGAAATGGCAACCCACTCCAGTGTTCTTGCCTGGAGAATCTCAGGGACAGAGAAGCCTGGTGGGCTGCTGTCTATGGGGTCAAAAAGAGTCAGACACAACTGAAGAGATGCAGCAGCGTCTGATCGTAGAAGTCTTTTGGCCCCCAAATTCTCTGACATATGGGGTGGCATGTGACAGCTAAGTAATTCCCATAGTACAAGAGCAAATAAACAGCCTAAAAGTCTGCTTGAAACTATGCAAGAAAGTTATAAAGGGTATAATGTCGCCCACTAAAGTTGGGCAGAAATCAGAACCTTCACCATAAGGGATTTTACACCCCAGATCATCATCCATCCACTCATTCAACCTGAAGCCCATCATGCATCCTTTTTAAACAAGTGGCCTGGTCAGCTCAGCCCCAGCACCCCACATGGCATGACCCTGTACCATACCGTGCTGTGGGTTGTGTCTGAGCTGCGGAGGTATGGGCATGGGCCTGAGCAAAAGTTGGCATAGTAGCCCTTAGGTTCATGGACCCATTTCCAGCCCAGATCCTGTCGGAAGTCAATATAGAGAGGGCGCACACAGCAGTTCTCCTCCAAATTGCTGCAACAACAACAGAAAAATAAATTATTTTAAAAAAAATAACCAACTGACATGGAAATCACTAACACAAAAACTTCACAAACAGCCCTCATCTGGGCGCCTGGAGTCCTTCCTGGTGACCATAAGAGGTGGCTCCAATCAGTGGAATCCCAGGTTCAAGTGCACTGAGCTGTATTAACTATAAAGGCATTTTCCTCTGTTGAAGACCAGAATCCCAAGGACATAGAAGGCATAGATACATAAATATTATATGATGGAGAGAAAAAAGGCAAAAGTGGTCCTGTCCCTTTTACACCATGAATCAAAATAAAGACTTGAAGTGTTCCACCTAAAACCAAGCCCTGAGTGTTATTAGCCAACTCAACTTTGTTGAGCTGGTTTTACTGTTACCTCCCTAATGTGCACCCAACCAGAAATGAACTCTAAGCTCAGGCACCTATACACTATAGTAAATGACTGCTCAGTCTAATTGTAAATAAGTCTATTGAATCAAAACGAGACATATCCTTCCATTTGACTCATGATTCCTAGACTACACCCAATGCGACTATCAGGCCACTTCAGTTCTGTTGCCTGCAGGACTCCATTTGCCAAGTGGGCATCTAGCCTGTGCTGAGACCTAGAAACTTGCTACTTCCAAAGGCAGCTATTGGCCAAAATCTGGCTTCTTGTGGGTTCCCTGGTGAACCGTGGTAGACATTCTTGTTTTTATACTCAAGAGCCATTCCTACTCCTCTTCTCTTGCCACCTCCCGTTACAGTCTGGAACACCAGATACTTGTTTTCCTGGCCTCCCTTGCAGGTAGAGATTGTCATACAACCCTGCATAGACCAATCAGACAGAAGCAGAAGTATGTAGTGGGCAAGGGCAAGTTCTGGCAAAGATATTTGATTCTTTATAAAAGTCAAAGATGAGGGACCCCCTTCATGATTCAGTGGCTAAGACTCCACGCTCCCAATGCAGGGGACATGGGTTCCATCCCTGGTAAGGGAACTAAATCCCACATGCCACAACTAAAGATCTCAGATGGTTCAAGGAAGATCAAAGATCCCGTGTGCTGCAACTAAGAGCTGGTGTAGCCAAATAAATAAATAATTTTTTTTTTTTTAAGTCACAGATGGAAAAGGAAAGCTGCTGTTTCTGCTACTTCCCTCCTCCTCTTGTCTTCAGCGTGGACAAGATGCCGAGAACTCTAGCAGTCTTGCTTATGCTTATGCTTATGTGACCATAACCAAGGTGGTAACAAGCCAATGTACTGAGCATGGCAGAGAGAAAGCCTGTGTCCTCAATAACATTAAGCAAGCAGCCAGACCAACCCTGGGGCTGCTCCTACATACTTCTTATGAACAGGAAATCCCCCGTGGCTTAAGCCACTGGCCCTGGAAGCCAAGATCATCCATTCCTATCTGATGGGAGAGTCACACAGAACAAATGGACATGCCAGCCTTCAGACAGTTGGAGGCATCCACGCTGCCTTTCCTATATGCTCCGTTCCTCCAACTCAACATCCCCAGTTCATTCTGTTGTTCCTCAAAAGACCTGGTTTTAGATCTAAAAATCTCCCAATTCATTCTCCCCAGCTCCATTCAGGCATCCTCCTCTCCAGCCAAAATGACCCATTCACACACCTTCCTTTACCAGAAGTGCTTCCTCCTCCCATAACCCTACATACCCGAGCCTCACTCATCCCTGAAGACCCAGCTCCAGTTCCACACCCTTCTGAAGCCTTCCCTGCATCCACAGATGAGCTCCTTGTCCCAAATTCTTTTCTAAGATTATTTTTTTTAATGTGGACCACTTCTAAAGCCTTTATTGAATTTGTTACAATACTTGTTATTTATGTTTTGGTTTTATGGCCGAGAGGCACGTGGGATTTAGCTCCCTGACTAGGGATTGAACCCACACCCCCTACAATGAAGGTGAAGTCTTAACCACTGGACCACCAGGGAAATCCCATGTCCCAAATTCTTAAATCATTTTATCCTTCAGACCTTCTCATGGATGTGGTCATTGTCTACCTTTAAGTAATCACTGTCTGTGCTTTTTTATCCTCCTTCCTTATAAGTGAGAAACTACTCTGAAATAAGAGAAAATGGATGCTCTTTTTTTAACCTCTTTACAATGGCTGTCCAACTATTTCCAAATTCATAAATTCTCTAGCCCACCCTCCCCATTGCAAATGGAAACTTGTCTTATTTTCACTCATCCAGTAGCATCCTTGGACCCTCCCTAGGGAACTGAGCCTTTAATGGAAATCTCTGCATTAATCTCCGCGCCACACAAGCAGACCTTAAGAGTATTTTAAAGCATGAAAACCATGGAGAGACCAAGCCTCTAATCCAAGCCATCTTAGCAACACTTTCCTCCGCCTTTAGTTTGTCCAGGTCTTTACAGGACTGGGCTGCGGAAAAACAGTGGGGCTCCCAGAAAAACAGATTTGTAAGAGGTTCTAAATCTCCATTCCCCGAGGTGTTTGTGAAAAGCATCGAGGGCCCTCAGTTGCACAAGGCCTAGGTCTGGGGCAATAGGCGAGCCATCAGTGTTGTCTCAGGAATTCATAGGTCCTGAGTGGGCCCAGGCTTACCGGAAGCAGTAATTGGTGTCCAGGGCCCGCTTCTTCCTCTGACTGTGGCCTGGGCTGTCTAGTCGGTTTGGGGGAATCATCATGAGAATTAGATGAGGGATATGTTCCTTCTTCTTCTTAAGTCGCCCCAGATCTCCACGGCCCGGATCATCATCACTGTCCACACCTGCAGAAGGAAGGAAGGAAGGAAGGTGATGGTCTCCTGTCTGAGGAGGGCAGGGTGGACTCTACTTTCTCATCCCATCCCCACCCTGTTCAGGAGGTGGGATGCTGGGGTCTACGAGGAAGGCATGGGTAAGACACAGCTTCATGCTAATGTCCAGCTGCAGGAACAGGAAGACCCAATGGAAGAACTGGTATCAAGGGACCTGCAAGATGCCTGTGGTCAGATGCCCTTGTGACTCCTGTGGGTAATCCTCCAGAGGGCACAGCCCTTCCTGGGATGCTTCCTAGAGAATCTACAGAGATTCCTGAAGCATCCTTGTCACTACGAGGCTCTAGCACATTCCTTTGAGTTGTCAGTTTAGATCCTGAGACTTAGAGCTTGAGGTGTGAGTCTCCTCTCATAATCTGAACTGGTCAAGATGCCATTACGTTCCCCTATGCTTTCCAGATGTCACAATTTAAGACAGTTTGAATGGAAGCCAGAGGAACAAGAGTCAACAATTGCTAACGTTCGCATCAGGCCTTCCCTGGGGCCCCAGACGGTAAAGAATCTGCCTGCAGTGTGGGAGACCTGCGTTTGATCCCTGGGTTGGAAAGATCTCTAGAGAGGGAATGGCAACCCTCTCCAGTACTCGTGCCCAAGAAATCCCATGGACGGGGAGCCTGGCAGGGTGCAGTCCACGGGGTCACAAAGATCTGGACACGACTGAAGGGCTAACACACACACACATAACATTCACACTGCACTTACAGTTTCAAAGTGTTTTCTCTATAAAACTCAGATAGGATCATGAAGTGTATGAAAACAGCAGATAAACTCCAAAAGGAAACCTGCTAGTTCATCTGCAAAGCCTGAAAACTGAATTCAAGTCTCAACTACAAGAAGATCTATTTTGATGGCCAGCTGCCGGCAGTTGTCCATCTCCACCAGGGACAGGAATGGGAGAAGCAGGATTTGCGTGGTGACAGGATGAACAGGGAGGCCTGGCGTGCTGCAGTCCATGGGGTCGCAAAGAGTCGGACACGACTGAGCAACTGAACTGAACTGAACTGAACTGCAGGAGGGACATGGACCTCACGCACGGGCAGTAGGACTGGGAGATCAATGGCAAGCTGGAGCGCAAGTTTCCTTTTCTGAAAATCTTTCTGAACAAGATAACTATTGACTGAAATGGGAGGATTTCATCCCTATTCAGGATATAGGTAAGGACTTCAAAGGTCTTTTGAGCTCTGAGGTTCTGTGATTAGGATAGGATGTCCAATGATTTGCTTAAAAAAAAATAGGCTCTGTTGCACATGGCAACTACCAAGCCCGCACACTCTAGAGCCTACCCATGTCTGCAACAAGAAAAAAGCCTGCACCTCGGTGAGAAGCCGTTGCATCACAACTAGAGAAGACCCCGCAGGCCACAAGTAGAGAAAGCCTGAGTGCAACAAGAAAGACTCAGTTCAGTTCAGTCGCTCAGTCATGTCTGACTCTGTGCGACCCCATGAACCACAGCACACCAGGCCTTCCTGTCCATCACCAACTGCCAGAGTCTACCCAAACCCATGTCCATTGAGTCAGTGATACCATCCAACCATTTCATCCTCTGTCATCCCCTTCTCCTCCTGCCCTCAATCTTTCCCAGCATCAGGGTCTTTTCCAATGAGTCAGCTCTTTGCATCAGGTGGCCAAAGTATTGGAGTTTCAACTTCAATATCAGTCTTTCCAATGAACACCCAGGATTGATCTCCTTTAGGATGGACTGGTTGGATCTCCTTGCAGTCCAAGGGACTCTCAGTATAGCCACAAAAAAAAATTAGGCTCAGAAATAAAGTTCATGAGGGACTTCCCAGGGCTGGGAGTCAAGAGAGGCCCTGAAACAGGTACCTTTTTCCAGACACATCTCTGACCTTAGGCTTTAAATTGGTTAGTTTGACCTGGACAAACCACTTGGCCTCAGGAGTGCCTCCGTGAACCCACAACAGAGCTTTGCAAAGAAAACAGAACTTCTCTGACATTCAGAGACTGTCTAGGCTCAGCAGCTTGAAAACATACTGGAAAACCAGAAATGTCTCAGCTAGCTTGGCCTCTCCAAGCCAAGCACCCTGAGGCCTGAAGCAGCTCAAACCCAGATGACGCCCTGGGTGGGCTGTGCAACATCTGGAAAGCCCAGCAGTCAGAGCGCTCGTGCTCAGGGCCACCGAAGTCCATTGCTTTTAGCAGAAGTGAAGACAACTCTCATTTGCTGAGTATCCAAGCACTTTATTTCACATATATAATCTCATATAATTTCATGACAACCCTGTAAAAGAGGTACCCTCACCCCCAGTTTGCTGACTAAGCTCAGAGAAGTGGACCAGCTTGCCTGTATGATTTCAGAGCTCTTATCAGCACAACACTGTCTTCCAGATCCTCATGCACTCTCTATAGACTAGGGAGTTCTTGATTTGAGGACAAAACAGAATATGGAAAAAACCCAAATGAACTTTCTGGCCAACCCAATACAAAACAGTCAGCCATCTCTGTGAGGGAGCTTGCTTCCTCTTCTCAGGATCTGGCCAGGGGTCTCCTGTTTTATCTAGCTTTATTAACTCCCCCCACCCATCCTACCATAAACATCCCTTTTGTTACCTTTGAATTTGATTTCCATCAGCTCTTGAATGTTTTCCAGGATATCCCCATTGGGCTGAAAGGTGTGACATGGACAGTGGATACTGATTTCCAGACCTAAGTTAGATTCTGCAAAATAAGACACAGAGTTGGTGAGAAAAGCAGTCTGCATGATGAAGCACGCAGCCTGTATACCCACGTAGCTATATACCCACAGCCACACACGGACGATCCAAGGTTTCTCCCGCCACACACAGTCATGGGACCAGAGTCAGACTGAGGGTCACAGGAGACAGAAAGTGCTCCCAAAGCTATCGTGGACCTTCATGCTCGTGTTGCCTTGTTCCAATATTTCTGTTGTGTTAAGTGTCACCAAATGGGGGCATACACTAGTGGGCCTCATGCAGGAGAATTTTAATAGGCATCTATTTTTCCAAGGATGGTATTAGGGAAAAGCTGTCACCAGCCTAGCAGGGGCGAAAGAATGAGGGTGCAGCAAAGAGCAGGAAAACAGTCACACCCCCGATGTGTCAGCTGGGAGAGGAGACGTTCAACCAACCTGCTGAGAAAGGATGGAGCAGAGAGGAAGAGGAACAAGAGCTGACAAGTGTGAGGAAGCCTGGGCTGCCAGGGTTTGGTGACTCATATTCTGGGGCTAAAAGGCCAGCTCTGGCCCTTTCTCCTATTGGCTGTGGGATTAGGTATTTTGGTAACTAAAACTGGAAAAGCAAGGAAATTAGTAAAAGGGGTTGAATATAAAGTGGAAGGAAGAAAGGGAGAAAAATAAATGAAAGATTTGAACTGAATCCAGTAGTTTTGTACAGAGGAACCAGGTAGAGTCTAGGATCATGCCAATTCTGATGGGTAAGAACCAGAGAAGCTCTCTTGATCCAGGGCAGTGATCAGGTATGGGAGGACGTGGGCGATGACCTCTGAGTTCAGGGTCAGCCTGAGTTCAGAGATGCACTGCTGTCTGAGATCACCCTAGTTCTGTGTGAGCATCCAGCCCTGGGGCCAACCTGGAGTCTTCCAGAAATCTGATGTCATCAGGGAAAACCCCAAAGAGTCCAGGCCAGCTCAACATCCTTCTCATGGGCAGAATGGCCCAACCCCAGAGACTGCAGGCAGCGTTGGGCAGACCTGGATGTCCCAGTTCTACTGGTTAAAAGCCAGCTCAAGGGGCTTCCCCAGAGGCTCAGTGGGAAAGAATCTGCCTGCCAATGCAGGAGACACAGGTTCCATCCCTGATCCGGGAAGATCCCACATGCTGTGGGCCAGAATTGCTGAGCCTGTGCTCTAGAGCCCGGGAGCCATGACTGCTGAGCCCACTTGCCTGAACTGCTGAAGCCCGTGCCCCCTAGAGCCCGTGCTCTGCAACGAGAGAAGCCACTGCAATGAGAAGCCTGTGCACCGCAACTAGAAAGTAGCCCCTGCTGTCCACAGTTACAGAAAGACCGCACTCAGCGACAAAGACCCAGCACAGTCATAAATAACTAAAAAAAAAAAACCAGCTCAGTCCCTTCTTGCATAAACTCTAGATCCCAGCTTCATCTGTCCCGCCCCAGTCACGGCAGCATCTGGGACACACGGACGCCTGCTGAGCTTTCTGTTCCACGGGAGCTCTGGTAGGGAGGGGAGGAGCCAATATAATAAGGATGCTGAGCCCCAGATGGAGAACTAGAAGTGAACAGAGAGGGAGGCATAAGGAGTGTACTTTTTCTGGTTTAAGGCAGGTAGAAGAAGGCGCTGGAGTAGCTGAAATGGGCTACATAAAACATAGTACACTTCTATTACCCAGAAGAATTTTCAGTCCAGGAGAGACTGAAAGTCCCATGCATCTGTGAGTTAGAAGGCTGAGATGCAGACATGTTGGGGAGAGTTAGGGTTAGGGTGCAGGTGGTGAATGTGAAGTGATGCCTGGAGCTAACAAGCTCCATCTAGGCAGGAGGCTCAGAGAACGACGGGAACAATCACCGTTTGTTGAGCATTGCTCCGTGCACGCTCTAAGATTCTGCATGCCTTAACTCATGTATGAAATCTCCATACTAATCCTACAGAGCACGGACTGTTATTCCTTCCCTCCCATTATCCACATGAGGACACTGAGGCTCAGGGAAAACTAAATGGCTTGATGGAGATGTCCAGTAAGTGGTAGAACCAAGATTCAAACACAGTCAGCCTGACATCAGAGCCACACTCCTGACTGTTCGAGACAAAGAGGGCCCAGCAGGGACCACCAAGGAAGATGCCCACCCAGTCACTGAGATACAAAACAGTTGTATTTTCCCAGTGCGCCCCTTATCCTGAGCCGAGGCGCTGGGCGTGCTCCTCACCCGGCCTGCTCGGGGAGGCCTGGCTCTGCACACAGAAGCCAACACATTGGACCGATTGCACAGGGGTGTGAGGACTGGGCCCCCAACCCCAGAGAGAGCTCCAGCTGGCTCTTAGCCCAGAAGGGAACTGGTGCAGAGCAGGCTCTTCGATGTTTGCTGAACTAATACAAGACTGGACATGTGACTCAGTTTCCTCACAGTCCACACTGCTGACTCCTCCATTTTCAGTCCATTTACCACTTTGTTTGGGGCCAAGAACCCTCAAGAGACTCAGGAACTCTGCAGAGTAAAGGTCTGTGTCTAACTCCCCCAAACACGGGTGGGCAGCATCTGCTAGAGCGGGAACAGAAGGTTCCAGGGAAGGAGTAACCTTAGAATTGGCAGTGGTGTGAATGGTGGGTGGGACACCCACAGGTTTTATTACAAAATTATCTTTTTTGATGTCTCAAGGAGGATGGAAATCATTCTCAATGCAAACTTCTCATTGAGTTCTGCAGCTGTGAACATAAGAACTCTAAGTGCCCAGGGCTTCAAAGAAATCCAGGTGGAGCTGATCAGAATCAGACAGGGAAGCTAAGAGATGAATTTCCCTGGCCTCTCTTCTCTGCAGCCATGTTGAGTTCTAGGCAGAGTGCTGGCTGAGTCAGATTTCCCACGGTGCTGCTCTTAGCTGATGCGCCTGGGTTCTCTGAGGTTTCCTCCTTTCGTGTGCAGTTGGGGAGACTCCATGGAGTTCCCAGAACCCTTGGAGCTGAGGCAGGACCTCCAGTCCACTATCTGTCAGCTCAGCCACCAGGTTACGCCCCTCAGATGGGGGCCTGCACACTCAGATGCCGAGAGAGCCAAGCAAGTTATGTGAGCAAAGTGAGCCAGTGCATCATGCTGAACTGGGACTGCCAGTCTCACTCATGGAGAACACTGGGGAATGGTGGGGCCTGGGGTGACATGAAGACCACATGCCCCACCTTCAACAGGTGGTCCTACTCATCTCTGATGGATCGTTACCCATTTGTCAAGAAAAGTCGAATGTCTAGGTTTTATGTGAAATCTCCGGACATTAATTAAAACTGTTAACCACTAGTTAAATAGAAAACAATATGTAGGCCAACATGTTTGTGATTGCTGCCTTCAAGTGTTAACCCTTAATTTCCTAAACCATTGAGGAGGACAAGGAAGGACCCACCTGTCCCAGAGACTCTGGGTATCCATATGTGGGTGGACTGTGGATCCACGGCAGCTGATGAAGGTAGAAAATTCTTTGCAAGAGGGATACAAGGAACACACAGGACTGCCTTAGGTACCCTCAGCCCACTGAGCACCAGACCAGGAAGTACCACCAAGTAAAGAAGAGGAGAAATAGTGGAGTGTGATGCCCTGAGTCCCCAAGACTGTCAGTCAGGAAATTCAAGCTCTAATCCAGGCTCAATGACCCTGATCGAGCCACTTAACTTCTCTGGGCCTCCATTTCCTCATCTGACCTAATAGAAGCTTACTCTCCCATAACGGGCTTCCCAGGGAGCGCAGTGGTAAAGAATCCACCTGCCAATGCAGGAGGCACAGAGAGTTCAATTGCTGATTCGAGAAGATCCCCTGGAGTAGAAAATGACAACCCATTCCAGTATTCTTGCCCAGACAAATTCCCTGGACAGAGGAGCCTGGAGGGCTGCAGTCCATGGAGTGGCAGAGTCAACACAACTGAGTGACCACACACAGCACTCACATAATGAGCCAAAAATCTGGAGGTTCTTTAAATACGATGGATCTTTAAAATGGCTCTGTGAGGCTTGCAGGGAAGATGAGGAAGCAGAATGAGTGGAGGAGAGATTTGGACCATATGAAGTCTGATATGCATACTAGACAGCCCTACTTGTATGGCTACCAGGCCTTTCAAAATTAACCAATAGAATAGAACCTACCTCCAAACCTGCTCGTCTCCCAGGCCTCCTTATTTCAGTAAGAGTTACCATCTGGGTGTTCAGTCCCAAATCTTCAGAGTCATCTAGACTCCTCTTGTGTCCTCTCGCCCCACACCTAATCAGCCCCGTCAATCCTATTGGCTCCGCCTCCAAAATACAGAACAAACCCACAATCCAGAGCACACTGGCCCAGCCAATGGCCACAGTGCTCTCACGTGGGCTGCTGCAGTGGCCCCTAACTTCTTCCCTTGACCTCACGAAAACCAGAGGATCTTAAACCAAATCACCTCACCCCACGTTCCCAGCCCCACTTGTAACATCTCATCACACTTGGAATAAGTTCTAACGCCTGACCACGGCCTTGCGGGTCCTACGTCTTGGCTCCTGGTCCTCTCTGAACGCCCCAGCTCCAGTCACACCAGGCAGTCTGCTGCTGCCAGAACAACTGAGCCTGGGTTTCATTGTTTTTGCTTTAGCATATCCTTTATCCTGACCTTCACAGGCTGGCTCTTTCCCATCCCTCAGATCTCTGTGCACCAGCTCTTTTTTCATAGAGGCTCTCACTGTGTATCTGATGATGGGTCCCACCCAGGCACTATCACTTCGCCCTCTTTCTGTTTTACTTGGTACTCATCACTGTTGGAAAGTCTTCTTCCTCAGTGTTTGTTTACTAAGTGTCTCTCCCACCGGAAAAAAAGCCCCATGAGATCTGGGACCCTGCTTGTCTGGTTCACTGCTGAATCCCCAGTGGCCTTGCTCAGCATTTACTCTGTACCAGTTGAATGAAGGAATGATGGACACACTGCAAGTTAATGGCCAACCTGGGCTTTGAACCCAGGTCTCTTGTCTCCCCTAGTGCCGTCCCTTTCCCTCTGTCATGAAGAAAGAAGGGACCAGAGGTTCCTTCCAAAATCCTCATCCTGAGTCGACCTACCTCTCCGCAAGAGCCATTCACGCACAGTGTCTGTGACGTCGAAAGAAAGCCACTCGCCAGTGCCCCGCGTGGGCAGGTTCTTGCCATCGATATACCGCTGCTTGGCTATGTGCTCACCCGGCTGGAGGATCTACGGGGCAGAGGAAGGAGTAAGTCCCGAGGCCAGGACAGGGCACCTGGGCGTCATGGTGCAGCAATACGGGGCGGGGAACAGGAGCAAACTAAGACTTCTGAAATGCTCTTTCGAGCTCCTCAGTTAAGTCTTAATCCTCTTAAGCAGCAGTCCCCAAACTCTTTGACACCGGGGACCAGTTTCATGGAAGATATCTTTTCCACGGATTGGGAAGGAGGGGGGTGGTCTCGGGATGTTTCAAGCGCATTACCTTTATCGTGCACTTTATTTCTAATCTAATGCCGCCGGCCGCTGATCTGACAGGAGGTACCGGTCCGTGGCCCAGAGGTTAGGGACCCCTGTTCTTAATGACAGACACAGGTACAGAAACTAAGGCTCAGAGAAGGCGGGATTCACACCCAGGTCTGCTGCTCTCTGAGCAGAGCGCAGGCTCAGTCTGGCAAAGGAACTGACTTCCCCCCCCAACCCCCGCCGTGTGGTGTCTGTCCCGGGAGGAGGTTCACCTGGAAGAGCTCAATCCTCTGCTCGCTGCGCTTGGAGGCAGGGTTGGGCATCCGAAAGACCCGGAATTCTGCTCGGAACAGGTTGGTTTCATTTTTCTCCACTGAGGACACGTTGAAGCGGAAAATCTTGGAGGTGATGCCTTTGGGGCAGACGGTCAGATCATCTAGGAGGCAGAGCAATGGGGGGGAAGCACAGCGTGAGCGACACCCATGGGGACAGTGTGCTGCCAGCAGACACTCATCAAGGGGCTGGGGGCCCACCTGTGACCGCACTAGAGCCTTGAGGCCTCAGACCTACAGGTAAAAAATGGGAAGATCCTTGGTGGCCCCGGAATCACACACAGGCCTAAGGGAGAAGCAAGGCATGGAGCCCCACCCAGGACATGGCACTAACAACTGGCCCCTCCAACCCCTCGTCTCGTTATCCCCACTCTGTCAGGCTCTCCAACCTGCTTTCCTACTCCTTTAAAAAATATAGATTCTCCAACAGCATCAGCAATTTCCCCTAGAAGTTTAATCACTGCATAGCTAGCTGAATCATTCACACCTTTGTTCATTCAGGCATTTATTCATTCATCAGACACGCGTTGAGCAAATGCTATATGCCGAGCACAGGCTAATGCTGGGAAGCAAAAATGAATAGACAAGGGAACTCCCTGGTGGGCCAGTGGTAAAGGATCCAACATCAAGGCAGGGGACATAGATTCAACCCCTGGTCAGGGAATTGAGATCTCAGGTGTCTGGGGAGAAACTACACCCAAGTTCTGCAACTACTGAGCCCACGCACCACAACCAGAGTCCACGTGCCACAACGAAAGATCCCACATGAAGCCATGAAGATCCTGTGTGCAGAAACACAGTCAAATAAATAACATTTTAAAAAATGGACAGACAGGGGCCCTGCCTTCAAGGAGATTAGCATTCAGAGGCAGGGCTATTAGTGCGTGGACCAAACAACAGGACCAGACAGAAAGCACTAAGGGCCTTTGGAGATGCTCAGAAGTTGCTGTAAACAGGTCAGAGGAGGCAGAGAGCGACAGCACATGGCATCAGTGGTGATTATTTGATATGGGTCCAACGGGAGGAAGGGGTCTAAGGATGCAAAGGAAAGAAATTTTATGTGGAAGGACACTGGAAGCAAAAGCAAGAAGGAGAGGAAAATGCAAGTGAGTAAGAGGGACCCGAAGCAGCCAAGCTTGCAGCCCATGAGACAAGGTCAAGACAGTCGATTGGGATCTACCTGTGGGGAGGCTGAAACGTCAGACCGAGGGGTTGATTTTATATCATGAACAGTAGGGAGTCATGGAAAGTGACACTTCAGCTCTAACAAGATAGCACAGAGGTGACAAAGAGCCCACATCTAGAGCCTGGCAGACCCCCAGATGCTTCTTCATCACGTAAAGTGGGTCCATTACCATTGGCTCCTAAGAGTTACTTTCCCTGTCTTCACATGCCATGCCAGCCTCTGCACCCCACTGGCCTCTACACCTCTGTCCACAGACAGAAGGCAGCACATGCTCTTTCCCACTCCATCAGAGACAAGGGAAACAAAAAGATCCTGCTTTTTCTTTACAACCTCAAGGTCTGAGCAGCATTAACACCCCAGAAAAACACTTTTTACACAAATGGTAACAACAGCCAGAACTTGAAATTCAAGCTCAGAGACCCAGATTCCACACATAATGAACATGGCTGGAACAAGCCCATAATCACCCCAGGGGTGGTTTAGGAAGTCATGGACAGGGCGGGAGGATCAGAGGCCTGGACACAAGCACACGCGCTACTGAGCTTTAGGAAAGGATGAGTGAGTGTTTCTGGAAATTGCCATCTGGTGGGTCTGACACTGGCTCTTAGAAAATCAATGGAACAGATGTTGGGAAAACAAATGTGTGAATGCCAGCTAATGAAGCCCTGATTAATAACTGGCTTTGAAAGAATGAATACCACCAATGATTCCCCTAAACCATTTCAGATAGGACCAGAAAGAGGGATCATATTGGCAGTTCAGTTTTTGAGTTTGAAAGTCTGTAACCCCCTGGACATAGGTAAGCTCCTTGCAGATGTGAGAGCTGGACCATAAAGAAGGCTGAGCACCGAAGAATTGATGCTTTCAAACTGTGGTTCTAGAGAAGACTCTTGAGAGTCCCTGACAGCAAGGAGATCAAACCAGTCCATCCTAAAGGAAATAGACCCTGAATATTCATTGGAAGGACTGATGCTGAAGCTGAAACTCCAATCCTTTGACCACCTGGTGCGAAGAGCTAACTCATTGGAAAAGACATTGATGCTGGGAAAGGTTGAGGGCAAGAAGGATAAGGAGGGCAAAAGAAGATGAAATGGTTGGATGGCATCACTGACTTAATGGACGTGAGTTTGAGCAAACTCCGGGAGATGGTAAAGGACAGGGAAGCCTGGCGGGCTCTAGTCCATGGGGTTGCAGAGTGGGACACGACTGAGCAACTAAACAGCAAAGCAACATGACTAGTACCTCCAGTAACTGTTGCAAGAGGGGATAAAAGATATCTCCACGCAATATGCACATTGCTATAAAAAGGAAAAGGGAAACAAGATAGCGTGTGCCAGTGAGGTGACTCAGAGTGGGGACAAGACAGTGGGGAGCCAGGAGATGGGGGAATGAGAAGCCAAGAGGATCTTCAGGACACCCTAGTCACTTCTCTTTCTTTGTTTCTTCCAGTTCATCCATCGGTTACTGTTCCCCAAGATAGACTCCTCTTGGTGGGAATTTCAGGGAGATTTCAAGGAGGTGGGAAAGGTCATTTTTAACTCCTTAGGATCTACAGATTTCTATCAGACTCAGAAGGAATGTTAGGGGTCCTCTAGTTCCTCAGGGAACTAGGAACCAGGCTTCACAGCAGGAGGCGAGCAGCAGGGTGAGCCAGTGAAGTTTCATCTGTATTCACCACCGCTCCCCATCACTCCCATTACTGCCTGAGCTTCACCTCACCCCCATCGCCCCCGTCCATGGAAAAATTGTTTTCCATGAAACTGGTCCCTGGTGCCAAAAAGGCTGGGGACAGCTGATCTAGTACAACCCACTTCAGATGAAGAAATTCATGCCCAGAGGGGTCTTGGCCAGGGTGACACAAGAATTAGTTGATACACGCAAACTGACACTAGCAAGCAAAGCTCAGACACAATCATTAGTGGGAGAGAAAATAAAATGCAGACACAATTTCCTTGACCGTTAAATCCACTGAATACTAACAATGCTTTAAATATTTCCTGGAATGAGCCAGAGTATAAATAAATAAAATGTAGTAACACTTTCTTACATTTCATAGAACTTCTATTAACTCACCTGACCCTCTAACAATCCTTGAGGAGAATCAGTAAAATTTACCATTTTAAAAAGAGAAGCATGAGCATCAGGAAGGTTAAGTCACTTTTCCAAGATCACTCAGCTGAGGGTTACCCTGGTGACCCAGTGGGAAAGAATCCGCCTGCCAATGCAGAAGGCTCGGGTTTGATCCCTGGTTCGGAAAGACCCCATATGCCACGGAGCAACAAAGTCCATGCGCCACAGCTACTGAGCCTGTGCTGTAGAGTCTGGGAACTGCAACTACCCAGCCCACGTGCCGCAACTACCGAAACCCATGCACTCTAGAGCCTGTGCTCTGAGACAAAGGAAGCCCGCACACCAAAACGAGAGAGCAGCCCACACTCATTCCAACTACAGAAAAGCCCACACGACGACGAAGCCCCAGTATGGCCAAAAATCAACAAATAAATAAAGATTTTTTAAAAAATCATTCAGCTAGTAGGTGGCAGAGGTGGGATTTGAATCCAGGTTCTGACCTCATTTACTGAACAGAGAATCTGGAAGTTGGAGGGGACCTCAGAGATCATCTACTGGGGGGATGGTTTCACCAACAAAACGTAGCAGGATTCCATGAAATGGGCCTAGAGCACCAACTTAAGCCTCAGACAAAAGCCAGTTCCCAGTCAGTTTGGTAATTAAGCCCTGCTTCTGCAGAACACTAGTATTATTGAAAGCTGAACGAGGGGGTCCACCTTGACAAATTAAATTATGACCAACTTTTTCCATTGCACACCAAGTATATGTATTAATGGGTGCCATTTTCTCCTTTTTTGCTATAGGGAAAGAAAAATAAACAAAGAATATTCATGCAGAGTATTCATGGAAAAACCTGGAAACAGCTGACCATGTTTAGACCGTGCATTTTTTTTTTTAATGTTTCAGACACCTGGGCTCCTAGATGTACCTCTGCTGTGTCCATCATTTCAGCTAGTAAAACTGCTGCTTGCCCCAATGATGGGACTACATACATCAATGTGGCAGTGTTCCTCCACCCTAGCTGTTCCCGAGAATCACCTGGAGAGTTTTAAAAACAGATGATGCCTGGACCTGCTCTCCAGAGATTCTGATGACCTTGTTGGAGTGTGGGTGGGTCCAGAGCTTCTTTTTTCAAAAAGACCTCCAGATGATTCTAAGATGTAGCCAGGACTGAGAAACATGGTTTACAGTCCTCTGCAAAGGGTACCATGGCATCCAGATGCCCTGGAAGTTTGATAAGCCACAGCTTTAAGGATTTACCCTTTAAATGTTAACCCATTAAAATACTGTTTGGTCAATGCATCATTTTGTAAAATTTTGAATTAGAAGCCACAAATGTTTTAAGCCCAGGTAGGTTAAAAACTGGGAAATTTCACGGCAAGATTCAGATTTTCTGCTATTCTGGGAAGCAGTTAGGATCTGGTCAAACTGGACCCACGTTCCCAAATTCAAAAATCTGCAGGAGCTGAGCAGTAGCTGCCATCTTTTCATTGGATTTTCCAGGCCCCCCCTCCCACCAGCCTCCTCTGCACAGCCTGTTCTCTCTGTGACCCTGAGGTCAAGTGTCCTATGCAGTTCACTGTGGTCCTTGTGCTGCAGCTTGTCCTCAAGATTATCTGCATCAGCTGCCTGGTCTCTGTAGGCACTTGTGTTTGCAAGCCCTCTAAGGAAGGGTTTTGCCTCTTTCATGGAGTCTTAGGCATCAGTGCACTTACAAATCAATAAGGAGCATGTTAAAAATACAGATTCTCCAAGATGACACTGCCCGCCCCGGCCCACTCTACCCCCACCCCCAGAGACTCTGACTCTGTAAGGATGGATTGGGGCCTGGGAATCCACATTTTTCACATTTACCTAACCTATGGACCACACTTAGAGAAACACTGACCTAGCATGCCAAGGGCATTGGCACTTAGAACAAACAGGTTCTTTCAATAGGAAATATCTTTTAATTTTCAGAATGAACATGATCTAAAAGCAGCATCCAGAAAAGAAATGCTAAAATATCAAGTTCTCTCTTTGCTTGTGAATTCTGGTTTTGCTGGTTGTCTTAGCGCCAGACCTTGGATAAAAACAAGAGTCTCTTGCCAGACACAGATAATTACAAGCCAGAAGTTAAAAAAACACCTACACTGGCAAATCTTGATAATAAGGATGACAAAAGAACTGAAAAAGATATGTAGGTCCCCACCATGTGGGTCAAAGAAAGCCTCCACCCACTTCCCATAGCAAAATCCTGGGAATTATAAAGGAATAAGATATATATATGTGAGTCTTGCCTTTACCTCCCAGCAGAGATCTGCTGAATCACCCCAGACGTATATATATTGGGTAGGCCAAAAGTTCATCCATAACATCTGAATGAAGTTTTTGGCCAACCCAATAGAATTGTTTCAGCTGGAACGGAGTTTAGAGGTTAACTTTACTGATGAGGAAACTGAGGGTCAGAGAGGTGATTTGCTCACTTCCACACAGTGTAGCTGCTTAACCTACTTGGGATTCTTCAGCAGATAAAGAAAACACTTCCAGGAGAATGTCTGTGGCTATATGAATCTCCCAGCCATAAAAATAGGCAGAGCTAAGAAAGAAAACACCCAGTGATCCTGCTATACAATCTGCTACCACTGTTACAGGTTCCTATGCCTACCTGCTTGGTCCAAACTGTGATTCATTCATATGTGTGTATGTGTGTGTGTGTTAGTCACTCAGTTATGTCCGACTCTTTGTGATCCACGGACTGTAGCCCACCAGGCTTCCCTGTCCACGGGATTTCCCAGGCAAGAATCCTGAAGTGGGTTGCCATTTCCTTTTGCAGGGGATCTTCCTGACCCAGGGATGGAACCTGGGTCTCCTGCCTTGCAGGCAGATTCTTCACTGTCTGAACCACCAGGGAAGCCCAATTCATTAATATTATAAACCAAGTTCTCTCAGAGCCTAAAGGTTAAACGTAGGACTTACAGTATGTATTTTTACGGTTTGCATTAGTGCTTGACAGCATGCATTCTGTAGGCAGAATGTCTAGGTTACAGCCCTGGTTCTTTATGGGCAATTCACTTAACTGATGCACATGACAGTCTTCTCATCTGGAAAATAGGGAAATCAGGGCACCCATCTGACAGGCAGAGCCAGAGAACGGTCTTATCTTTGCTCACCTTGGTGCCCTTTCTGTGCCTCTAGCGGTTAGTCCTTCTTCCACGTTGCCCTCCAGGCACCTCTGTCTGCTTGCCCCAACTCCTGCTGCCACCTTCCTCTGAGAGCCTGTCCCACTGGGTACCGGAAGGGGCTGGGAGTGACGAGATGTGGAAGCGAGTGGAATCCCATCACCCCAGCAGCCGGGTCTCTGGCACTCAGACCCCAGTCCACCCTCATGAGTTCTAGACACGCTTCCCTCACCCCAGGCCTTGGAGGGTGGCTCACTGCTCCCTCTCGGCATCTGTTAGACGTTTGCATCTGCCCACTGCCTTCTTTATAATTAGGGTGCGTTGTGCGTCTGCCTCTCTGGGGCTGGCTCAGCACCTGACCAGCTGCAGGGTGGGCCAGGCCTGCGTCTGCTCAGCCTCTGTGTCACCTCCACCAGCTGCACAGTCTGGGCCTGCTTCCTGCTTGCACCTGCAAGCCTCGCTGGCATCACTCGGCTCCCATGGGGCCCCAGATCCTCCATGATATCCCAAGTAGTCCCCTGCTCACTGTGCCAGGTTTCCTCCCGGCCTGATCACAGCTCCATGGCCCCAGGGCCTCCCTCACCTACTACAGCTTCAAGGAAGGTCCTGCTGCTGCAGCCCAGAGCTGCCCAGCATCTGCGCCGCCCTGTCTTGGCTGATCCCCAGGGCTGTCCACTAATTGTGCCCTCAGTCTTCACACACATGTCCACTGGCACCTGTGTGCCCTTGCGTCTCTCTGGCTCATTCGTTCTCAGCTTGGGATTCCAGGCTGGGTGGGCCCGGGTGACTCAGAATTCCTCCTCCCTGGGACTCCTCCTCCTGACCCGGATCCTTAAGGTCCCAGTCCTTCCCTCCCGCCCTGGACTTTCCTCACACCTCTCCTGCAGGTCTCAGCTTTCCACCCTCCTCCCATGTTTGGCCACCATCTCCTGCCTCTGTGGGTGCCCAGGGCGCTGGGGGTTTGTCCAGGCGTTCAGCTGCTGGTACCGCTGGGAACCACAAGGCCCTCAGAGACCAGGAGTCAGGCTGGCCTGGAGAACCCTGGGCAGGGAGCGCTAGCTGCACCTCCTTCTCCGGCCTCTGCCCCACACGGGAGCTACCGCCCAAGGCAGCCACAGGAAACTGGAGCAGGAGCCCCTCGCCAGGAACCACAGGCTCCTGGGCCCGGCACGGGCAAGCTCCCAGAGAGGCCTTCCACACTTTCCGCCAGAGCTGGTGCATCCCTGGGCTGCCCACTCCCCCTTCTCTCTATCCAGGTGCCCCTGCGGACCACCCTCACCTGGCCCGCTCCATCCCACTCTCCCACCCCCACTCCCGACAAGGCCCCCTCCCAGGTGAGCCTGGGCCGAGGCAGCCTGGCCATCGAGGACACCTGCTGGTAGGAAAAGCAAACAGTGCTGCTCCGGAGTCCCTGGGCCTGTGAGCGGGTTCACATTCCTCCTTCCTGGGCTGTCAGTTTCCCAGCATCTGCCAAATCTCTCTCTCGTATTGAGGTTTTTTTTAAATCCCCGTTCAGTAAACACACATGACTTCCACACGTGTACAAACACACACACAGACGGCTCACCCAGGAGCCTCCCGGCCTCTCGGCACAGACAGGAGTCTCCTGGGAAGACACGCTCCCAGACACATGTCCCCTGTGCACCCACGGCCACACTGCCCACCCTCTCTTCCCCTGACACGCAGACACAAAAGGGCTGCCAGCAGCCATCTACACGTCCGGAGCCACATCCTCGCTTTCCCCCACGTCCACGGGCCCGGAGGATGCCCATGTTGCACACATGAGTCTGTCTATGGGACAAAACAGGACGATGCATCGCTGTCAAGCACGCAGCTATGTGAACCTAGGTGCGTCCCCTCCCCCCACGCACACGGCTCACGTGGGTCGCATGCGTGGCGTGGACCGAAGGGCCTAAACAATCAGAGGCTGCCTCTTGCCTGGGCTTCAAGAAGCTGGACAAGACATGAGCTGGGGGCAGGTATACGCTTCTTTCTCAGAACTGGAAAAACGGAACGTGAGACGTGTCACAATGAGGGGTGGACAGCAGGGAGGAGACCAAGGTCTCCAGCCTCTTGGAACCGCGCGGGCTTCTTAGAAGAGCGCCCAGCCCTGCCCCTCTATGGCTCTGCGCGCTTCTAGTTACCTGTCTGACCACACGTGCCACAGCACAAAAACGGGACAGTGTCACTCCCAATTAAAATCCCTCAGCGATGTGATGTGAGTTCCCCTATGCCGCTCAACTCCAGGGCTCCTGGCTTCCCAGCGGCATCAGACTCTGAGCAGAATGGCTCTGTCTCCCCCTCCTCACCCACCCAGCCCCAACTGCGCATCACACCTCGTGTGTCCCCCAATCGCTGGTGTGGAGCATACCTGGGGCACCCTGCCCTGTGGTCATCGCTAGCCCCCCCTGCCCCCCATGGAGCTCCCCACCCCAGCTCAGACCCTCCAGAGGAGACACCCCCAGTGGGGAATCTGGACTTACTGTGCTCCTCCAGCCCCTGGATCATGTCGAATTTATAGATTTCTTTGGCATAATACTCCGACTCGGTGTTTGCTTGCGTGCAGACGTCTCCCCTCTCCCCGTGCACCTCCTCCAGCAGCTCTCGGGTGCTATTGTAAAGATCCAGGACCTGGATGGGGATACTGGCCAACCCGGATGGATCGGGGGGACTGGTGAGCCTGAGTTTGCTCAAGATCTGTCCCCTAATGGCTTCCACCCGCTTCCTCTTGATGTGGTTGAAGTCCAAGGTGGTGCAAGTGGACATGGAAAGGCTGACCGTGGCAAAGTTCAGCAGGGCCAGGACCACCAGAGCCCTCTGCAAGTGCATCTTCAGGCGGGGGCCGGGGAGGAGGGCCGCAAGGCCTGGCAGGAGGAGACCCCGGCAGTCGTGCAGAAGGAGGGAGGCAAACCAGGCGGCCTCCCTAGATCCCGAAGACTGAGGCTTGGCAAGAAGGTGCATGAACTCACTGCACTGCGAGAGCTTCAGGACTTCCAGGAAGCGCTGGCAACCCTGAGCGCGAAGAAGCCGACTGTGTGCCGTGAAGCTCTGGGTTTCTTCTCCATGTGTCTAAACAGGTTCTGCTGGGCTCTGACTTCTAGCAGGCCAGGTGGAAGGCAAAGCAAAGGGCTGGGAGGGGTGGCAAGGCAGCTGGGAGTGGGAAGGGAGCTGGAGTTTTTCCTTAGGTAAAAATAAATAGAGCGGATATCTGATATTGCCAAACGCCGCTTGGTGATGGGGAGAAAGTGGGTAATTTTAAAGAAGGAGCAGAAGGACCATAGCTGGGTCCCCAAATCAAAATCCTTGCCTTGCCCTGAAGGAGAGTAAGAAAAGAGGATGGAAAAAAAAAGAGAAAAAAAAATTATTAAAAAATAAAAATCACCAGTGAGTAGGTGGGGAGAGGCAGGGCTAGGCGGCTGCTGACCCAGCTCAAGGTGGGGGACAGCGCAACACACACTTGTCTCTCAGGCACACCATTCATGCTTTCTCTTTTGTTTACACTTCCTCGGGGGGGCTCTCTAAATGACTTTGTTCACGCTGCCTCTCATCTTCATTGGCTGGGATGTGGGCTTATGTTTGCAATTGGAAGGCAGGGGGGCTACAGCCGCTGGAGAGCATCCCCAGTAATCCACTTGGACGCCCAGGTCACCAGCACCTCGTCTTCTCCCTCGGCCTCTGCTTCTGTTCCCTGATTCTCTTTAAAAAATTAAGGAAAAAAAAAAAAAGACAAATAAAATAAAAGCCAGTTCACTGCACGCCTCCTCCGGAAAGCTGTTATTCCTTCTTTCTCAGGCTTCTTCCCCTATCTCTCGCCTCTCTTGCTCATGCCCTTGGACTTGGCTTTCGGATTCCCTCCCTTTCTCTCCCTCCAGCTTCTCTCTGCCTCTCCCTCTCGCTCAAGCTCCTCTCCCCCTCTCCCTCGCACACACTCACAAGCACACACACTGCTTTCTCTATTTCTCGCTGCTGAAATTTTATACCTCCCTCCCATGACGTTTCTGGCCCCGGGGCGGGGGGCGGGGGGCCGGTGGTGAGCGGCGAGGAGGGGGCGAAGAGAGGTGGAGGGTGGAGTGGGTGGGGGGAGGGCCCCGAGCACCACGCAGTCTCCTTTGCTGCACGATTTTAATGTTTTAAACAGGCACAGGAAAAGCCGAGCCCATTTGAAAAATACTTTGCGAGTCCCGCTCGATCGACGTGGTAACTGAACTTCCCCCCCCCGCCCCCCCTTGGAGTCACTCCCGCTACACGTTGACTGTTTTTCTGGAAAGTTACGGCCGATGAATCCCCTCCCCTCCTTCTCCCCCAACTCCTTCGCCCTCTCGCCAGCTGTCAGTTGGTCCTCTCCTCGGCGGGTCTCTTGCTCCCTTGTAGACGCGCCACCCACCCCCCCACCCCGGTCCCCCGTCCCCCGGCCTGGCAGCACCCTGGGCAGGGGCCTGGGCACGACCGCCGTGCCCACCCCTCGGGGCTGGGGTGGGGGAGGTTGACGCCCGGGCTCGGAGCGGGATTGGAGTTGGGTTCAGCCCCGCAGCTATCCTGGCCCCGACTCTTCATTGACAAGACTGTGGAGTCGGGTGGCTCCCGGAAGCTTGGAGATGCTCCAGGGGCACTGAAAAAGGGGTGGCGTTTTCCGGCAGACCGAGGGTGCCCTCTGGCGAGGCGAGACCGCCAGTGACGGAGGCTCGGTGGGTCGGAGCCGGGAAGATCTGGAGGGCTGGATGAGGGGAGGGCTGGATGCGGGGAGAGCTGGATGGGGGGGAGCTTGGCGGGGAAGGAGTGGAGAGGAGCTGGGGGGCGGGGGCAGCTGGGAGGCGGGGGAGGGCTGGGGGGAGCTGGGGGCGGGGGGGAGTTTGGGGGGCGTGGGGGGAGTAGAGGGAGCTGGAGGGGAGGGCTGGGAGGCGGGGCGGGGGGCGCTGAAGAGAGCCCTGGTGGGGGGTGGTTAGGGGCTGATTGGGGGGAGTCTGCGGGGGTGGTTGGGGAGGTGTGTGATGCCGGGAACCTGGGGAGAAGGGCTCGAAAGAGGGCTAGGAAAAACAAGACGGGGTGCCTCGGGGAACAGCCTCTCTCTGCGGGCCCCACGTGCACACACGGGCACCTCTTCCTTCCCCGAGCCCCGCTCCGCCGTCGCTCTCGCAGAAATGTCCTCCAGATGTGCGCGGCCTCCCTCCCCGGCCGAGGGTTCCGCGGGGAGCTCCGCCAGCCAGCGCGGAGTCAGCAGTTGGCCCGAGCCCATTTCCCAGATGGGTGAGGGGAGGGTTTTTTGGTTTTTTTCCCTCCGCCTTCGTTCCTTCTCTCAGCCTAAGTTTCTAGGTCTTTTCTCACCAAAAGTTTCGGGAGGGCAAACCACAGTGCCCCTTCCTTTCACCCCACTGCCCACTGCCCACTCACCCCCCTCCCCCCACCCCACCCCGCTCCGACACGGGATAATCTCCGAATTGGTCGCTTTCCAGGGAGTCGGTGCTGCTCCCCGCCACCCCATCCCACTTCGCTCCAGCCTTCCTGACCCTGGATCCTAGGACATTAACGGAAAGGACGTTCTCTGCATCCCCAGGGCTGTGGTTGATCAGCTTAAGTTAAGGAAATGGAGACACAGCAGACCTGTTTAAGAGGCTTCACTGCTTCTGAGTGGTTGAGGTGATATTTAACATGGGCTCTCTGATTTGGGAAGACATTATTTTTATTTGCATAAGAAATGAGGGATCCTAGGTGTAAAAAGCTTAAAGTAACTTGCGTCTGAATTACTTTTAGGTCATATAATCAGGGGGCGTCAACCCTGAGATTTGGACACAGGAAGTCTGTTGCCAGCATCTATGCACTAAATGTGCTGTGGTTAGTCGCCCAGTCTTTTCCAACTCCTTGTGACCCTGTGGGCTGTAGCCCACCAGGCTCCTCTGTCCATGGGGATTCTCCAGGCAAGAGTACTGGAGTGGGCTGCCATGCCCTCCTCCAGTGCACTTAAATATTATGCTCTATTTCCTCTGGAATTCTGCTACCATTTGAAAAATATTTTTGACAGCTGCTATATGACAGGCACTGTTCTAGGCTCTGTGGAGGCAGCAGTGAACAAAACAAACCAAATCATTCCCTTAAGGACTTTACGTTCTAGAAGTGGAGGTAGGACCATGGGGAAGGCAATAAGTGAATTAAAATATGTAAATAATGTGGTGTGATAAAAGGTAAGTGCCATGGTGGAAAATAAACCAGAGAAGACAGAGTGCCCAGGTTGAGGGGATGTTGCAATTTAAAATCAGAGAAGGCCTGACTGAGACTTTTAAGTAAATACTTGCAAAATGAGGGGGGAAATTATTAAAGTTATATCCTTTTGGATACCTCTACCAATCAGAGTCTACAGGTAAGGGCTCTGACACATGTATTTTTAACAAACTTCACAGGTGATTCAGGTGCTCGGCAAGGTTTGGAAGCCACTATTCCAGGGCTTCTTTCTGCCCAGAGTGAGCACCTTTTGCTTTCAGGAACTTGGGGAAGAAGTGGGAGTGAAGGTTTGGAAACTGGTGGTGGTAGTGTGGCTATAAAAAGTGGAAAGAAAATAGAAATGGAGGCGGTATTGCTAAAAGAGCTCGCTAAAATGGAATCAGAAGGCCATTAAGGCAGTATGAATTATGCGAGACTCAGCTTGGGTAAAACCTAACCTTTTGTCCACTCGCTGTCCTAATGAAGGCATCCAGAAGCTCTGCCAGAAATTGAAGATACTTATCAGATCCCTATCTTATAATAACTTGTGGCAGCCTGTCTACTTATCAGTTGTTTTTTGGTCGCTCAGTTCTGTCCACCTCTTTGCGACCCCATGGACTGCAGCACGCCAGGCTTCCTGTCCTTCACTGTGTCCTGGAGCTTGCTCAAACTCATGTCCATTGAGTCGGTGATGCCATCCAACCATCTCAACCTCTGTTGGCCCCTTTTCCTCCTGTCCTCAGTCTTTCCCAGCATCAGGGTCTTTTCCAATGAATCGGTTCTTTGCATCAGACCCTTACTTTAAAACAACTCTTGATTCCTTAAGGACAAATATTTCCTTTCTTGCATCAGAGAACAGCCTCGTGGCCTTTGCCTTTGTAATCTCCTTGCCCTTCCTCTTTCTTTGGAACACTCTTGGTTTTACCAGAATCTGTGTCTCCCAAATTGCAATTTTTCAGACCCCCACCCCCTCAATAAAGCTCTTTATTCTTTGCAGCCTCCATATTGATTACTGTTTGACAGCAATTGCAAGAAATGGGAAAATCCTAAGGTTAATCCCTTCTTCCTCGTCTGGCACCAAGGAAGAAGGGAACAAGGGCTTCACTGGAACCTGTATTTCATGCATCTTAGATCTTTGGCAGTGTATGTTTATTCAGGTTAAAATCTAACAGGGTATTACTGAGAATCAGAACTCGTGAGTAAAAGGTTTTAGGGGTAATCTCGAAGAGTCGCTACAAGGGAGGAAGCTGAGAAAGTTCTGCCGGGCTATACCAGTAGGTATCAGCCGAGCTAGGATGAGGTTTCAACTCTTCTGACATCCAGACAGTACTGTTGTTGTCACCAGCATTCTAACACATAGCCCTACCAAGTAAACGTGGATAAATGGTTGGATCTAATCATTTATTAGGGATCGAAGAAATCCTACATTCCAGTTTTAGGGTTGGTAATCCCTCTTATATGTCTTTGCTTTTGAGAAGCCATCTAAAGCCTTACCCCTAGGATGATGCTGGGGACACTTCACTTTCAGGGCCATGAACTCAAGTTCTGGGGCCCCAGCTGGGAGTCCCCAGTACCAAGGATTGGTCAATGTTATTGACATAGGGAACCTTACATGTAGAATCAATGAAGACTCAAGTTGATAGTCCCATTAAGCTGGGAATTTGGGGGCCATTTTCCTCTACTTGCCCACGAGACTGGCTGGCACCCAGTAATACACACCAGAGAAAAACACCAGTAAGACCTGCTATCAGAAAAGCGCGTGGCTCTGCTGCTTAATACTCAGGTGATTTTCCTCAAGGTACTGTTCTGCACCTCACTGTCTTCAATTGTTGGATAGAAATACTACTTTTGCTCACTTCATGGGGGGCTTGGAGTGGTTATTTGTACTTTTGAAAGTTATATCTGATGTGTTGGTTCAACTCTTTTAATTTCTTGAAGGCAGAAATTACGTATATTGCACTTTTCATCATAAACCGTTTATTAGCACCTGACCCTCAGGGTGTCCGTCCAATGGAGACAGTATAACTTATCTTGTCTCCTACAAAGTTGTTATGCATTTTCCATGCGCTAATAACTGTGAAGTTCCTCTGTATATTGACAAGAGCTATACACATGAAAACGATGAGAATAATTACTACTATTTATAGTAGTGCTTTGCACTTTACAACTTATCTATCTGAACAGAGCTACACGTGTTCATTAGAAGGCTGATGCTGAAGCTGAAACTCCAGTACTTTGGTCACCTCATGCAGAGTTGCCTCATTGGAGAAGACCCTGATGCTGGGAAGGATTGGGGGCAGGAGGAGAAGGGGACGACAGAGGATGAGATGGCTGGGTGGCATCACCGACTCGAAGGACATGAGTTTGAGTAAACTCTGGGAGTTGGTGATGGACAGGGAGGACTGGCGTGCTGCAGCCCACGGCTTTGCAAAGAGTAGGACACGACTGAGTAACTGAACGAACACAGGTAGGCAGTTTCTAAAGACTACAATTTTTCACTGTCCCACAGGAGCACCCTCATCAGGATTTAATGTGTGGAGATTCCTTCCAAATGTCAGAAAAGGTAGGTTTAGGAAAGATTTGGTTTACATTTTAGGATGGCACATACAATCCAGGAAACAATGAAGCGGACCCTTTAAGTCCTGGGGTGAAAGGGCGGAGCCGTCGTCAGGGACGCTACTGAGCGTCTGGGTTTCCAGGAAGTTACGTCAGGCAGCCGTGGAGATGGAGGACTTGCTGGACCTAGATGAGGAGCGGCGTCGCGGCCCGGCCACCTCCGTGAGGACCGACTCGGGGCGGGGATCGGGGCCAAGAATTAGCGGGTGGGGAGGGGCGACCCCGCCGGCCCTGGCTTCCCTGAGCCGCCTCGGGCCAGCCTGTCCCTGGCGCCAAAAGCCAGCGGGCTCTGAGCCTCTCGGGGGGTGAGGCCGGCGAGGAGGCGGCCTCCCTCGCCCCGCCCCTGGGGCAGCGGGGAGCTCCGCTGCTGGCCTAGGGTTTGCTTTCTTTAAAATTCTCAAAGACAGGAAAACAGGAAAACAGATCCTGTCCCTGCCGGCCTGTGAGAACGGTGGGAAATTTCCCAGCTTCTCTCCGCTCTCTGGAGCTCCAACTTGCCAACTTCCCTAGGATGGACAGATAGATCTGAGAGTGATTGGAGGGCCCCTGGCGAGGGTCACACTTGCACTCACGCTAGAGCTTTTTCCCTTGGTCATGTCATTCCAGGAGTTGATGTAAAACCCGTACTGTTTTAAGCGTGGAAGGAGGGAAAGGAGTTAGGGAGGGCCCTTCTTTCCTTTCATCCCAAGGGGAGGTGGGCGTTACCTCAGTTTTATAGAGCGAGGGAGTGGCTGGGGGCGAGGTGGGGAACCCAGAGGTCAGAGGGAGTATAAAGCTGTTGCATGGGTTAAAGAAAGTTAACTTCTCGGAAACTCGATTTCCTTGTCTCTAGAGTGGAGATTTATGTCTCCTTCAAGGAGATGAAGATGAAATGAGATGTGCCTGGAAAGCATTTAACACAGTAACTGGCATATGCTGAGTTATTAGAAGAGGTTAGCGGCTGTGGCTTCTGAGGTCGTGATTTACCCAAGGTTATAGCCCGGTGTCTGGAAGATCCCCTGGAGGAGGGCATGGCAACCCACTCCAGAATTCTTGCCTGGAGAGTCCCATGAACAAAGGAGCCTAAAGGGTTACAGTCCATAGGGTCACAAAGAGTCCGACACAACTGAAGTGGCTTAGCACATATATATAAATGACTGAGCTAGATTCAAGACCCAAGTTCAGTGTGTGTGTGTGTGTCTTAACTCCATCATGGCCTCACCAAGCCTTTTTGCATCTAAAATTACTGAAGATCACAGTCACTAAAAGATTGGCCCACAAGTCTTTAGTTTTGCTGTGGAATTTCTCCGTGTCTTGAAGTGCCCTAGTAACATCGGATAGCCTCCACATTGCTAGAGAGGAGGTTTGAGGAATGGGAGCAAATTGTTCTAGAAAGAAGCAGGTTGCTTGACTGACCAAGGAGAATATAATGTCATCAGGCCTTTCTTGATATGTGTACTTTTTTAGTACTGGGAGAAAATGAGTGTAGTTATTCATTTATTCTTTCAACAAATATTTACTGAGCTCCTTTTGTGTATCAGGCATTGATTGTCCTAGGTGCTAGAAATATAACAGTGGAAAAAAAACTAAGCCCCTGCCCTCATGGGGCTTATGTTTCAGTGGAGGAAGATGGGCAATAAAGAGACCATACATTTAAAATATATAAAACCAGGTAGTAATGTAGTTTCTCTACCAGTCAATACTATGGATTTATACAGGGTCTTCCAAAAGTTTAAAACCTTAAAATCCTTGACAAATACACTAGAGAAACCATCTATAAACAGTATAGACAAGATCCTTGAAGTTTTGTTTGAGCATAATCACTCCATGTAATATGCCATATTCATATACCCAATGTTATCATACATGGAAAAGGGCAGCCACAGGTGAAGGAGTAGAATTGTCTGCCTTGGGAAGAAAATGAGCTGCTTATTGTCCGAAATATTATTTGTCATTCCTGAATTCTAAATGATTGATTAGAATTTCATATGTAAACACTACATAAGGGTTTTTATGCAGCTCTCATGTAACTTCTCTCAATTTATTGACGCACTTGGTTCTTAGAACATCTTAAAACTGAGATTCCATCAGGGCACAGAAAAAGCCTTCAGAATTTGAAGGCAGAAGATTTTGCTCTTATGTTTATTTGCTACTTTATTGCTTTCCTGGGTCTCAATTACATCATTTGTAAAATGGCCTCAGTCCCAGTCCCTATTATTGTGAAATCAAAGGAAGCTACATCAGATGAGATCTAAAAATGCTTACAGTAATGTTGTTTTTTTTTTTTAAAGAGCAAAAAAGAAAAATATAAACATTTCAACACCCTCCACTCTGCCCAAATAATGTTTGTGTGTGCTGGGAGGTATTAGAGACACAGATGGAGCCCTCCACCCTAGAAGGGCTTTGGGAAACACCTGCAAATGGTTCCTTTGATGACTCAAAATTTGAAGTGTTCTGATTTCCAAAGCTGATGTCTCAAAAAATTCTTGTAAGAGCTTTCCTTTAATGTCTGTAAGTGCAAATCCAATTAGCATATACGTCAAAGGAAATGCTATCTGTATTTCTCTGGTTTCAGTTTCCATGGAATTTCTTCCCCCACCAAATGCCTTTTTGATAACTATTTTCATGCCAGGCTGCAGCTTTGAAATTAGGCCCTCCTGAAGTCCCACGTCGGTACATAGGAGCCTTGACCATACTCTGCCTGAGCTGTGGCATGAGCTCCCTGTCCATTCTAGAGGAAGTTCTAGCTGCATTTCTTTGGGTAGAATAGGTCTGTGGCCATTAAAAGAAAACATTGTGATCAACGCATGAATTTCCTATCCTACCATATAGAACTGACTTTGGGCACTTTGTTTGAAGGGTTTGGAGTGTTTTCTAAGTGATCAACACATGGGTTTCCTGCCCTACCATATATAACTGACTTTGGGCACTTTTGTTTGAAGGGTTTGGAGCATTTTCTAAGTATACTCGAGTTGCTCAAATCCCATCCACCCCATGTCATCAGAAATCCAGTCCTTGCTTACCTTGGCAGAATTGTCTTCCTCATAGTGGCTCAAAGACGTTTGAGTCAGCAGCACCCCTCATCTCTCCTTACAGGGGGCCAAGATGGGGCGCCGAGCTCAACAGGAGTCCGCCCAAGCCGAGAATCATCTCAGTGGCAAGAATTCGTCTTCGACTCTGACTGCAGAGGTGGGTGTTAAAAAATTCTGAAAAAGTTTTCAGCTCTTAACAGTTGGTGATTACTCAATGAGCAAGGATTTGGTCTTACATATTATTATTATTATTATTTTCTTTTTCTTTAATGTCAGCCTTCCTCCTATCTTGATTTGGGAATTCCCTTCCCCAGCCTTTGTCCTATTAGCAAGAAATGAAAGAGTAACTTTTTTCTTTTGATGCCAGAGTAGTTTCTCTGCATTGCTTTATATTCGCAGTGAAGTTTTGTACGTTAACTGAAGCAAGGGACTGGGAGCTTTCAAAATCCAGCCAAAATCCGAGTTTTTATTCCTGCCAGATAAAAGCCAGTGAGGCATGCTGGTGACGTAAAGTTGAATTACACAACTGGACGTTTTGTTCTCAGTGGTGACCTGCGCTTTCTACAGTTTTCAGGCGGGAAGGGAACCCGGACTGGTACTGGCCTTTCTTTCTTGGAAGCTTTTCCAAGTGGCCTGGAATCGTGGGAATTTATCCAGCTTCTCCAGGGAGGGGGGGTAATCTTGATGAGCAATGCTTTTGATGCCAGAGCACTATTTTTGGCAGTTTACTCAGGACTTCTTTTCACCCTCCTCTGGCCTGTTTGAAGAAACTTCTGCCCTTTTCTAGATCTGGCTTCAGGGTAATCATCACTGTCAGCTTTTCCTCACTTCTCCAGGCTGACCTGGGGCTCATACGGCTCAAATGCCATGGTGCCTGTTAGACAACTACTCACATTAGGCACTCACTTTCTGTTTATGTGTCTGGCCCACTAGAGAGTGAGTTTCGGAACAACAGGCAACATGGCTCCTCAGTTGCCCAGCTCATTAGCCTACAGTGGGTTTATGAGGGCAGCTCTGCTGGGGGGCTTGATGGACAGGTAGGTACATGAGCACAGCATGCTGGGGACAAGACAGACCCACTTGACTTACATATCACATAAGTAGGAATATCCTTCACTTTCATCAGAAATAAGTTCTCTACCATGCTTTCAAGCGCTCCACATGGGCCTTTCAGTTTCTCTTTTATCTTCTCACTGATTATAGACATATGGGTACAGAGAAGCAGTTTCCCTCTCAGGTAACAATCGTTGATTGTTGCTGTTTAGTTGCTAGATTGTGGCCAACGCTTTGCAGTCCCATGGATGGTAGCCCACCTGGCTTTTCTGTCCATGGGATTTCCCAGATAAGTGGGTTACCATTTCCTTCTCCAAGGGATCTTCTCAACCCAGGGATTGAATCTGCTTCTCCTGCATTGGCAGGCAGATTCTTTACCACTGAGCCACGCAGGTGACCCCAGATAACAGCCATGCCAACATAGGAAATCTGGGGGCTGACCCTTGGCCTCACAGTCTGAAGTCAGTAGGGGGAGGTTGGGGAGGGACTGTGGAGGCCACATGTAACCACTGCCTGGAGTAACCACTACCTGATCACAGCCGCTGATGTCCGGAGGTCCTGTACTGCCAGCTCTTCTGATTTTCCAAGAGACTCTGGCAGTCTAAAATTTTACGTAAAAGCAACACATTTTTAGACATCAGTGACTAATTATAAAAATTAAATCACTGTATGGGCTATATTAGGCCTGAGGGTTGTCAGTTTGTGACTTTGACCATAGTGCCTCCTTTATAGAGCTTATTGGTTTGGCCAGAAGGTTCATTCAGACTTTTCCATATGAGCATATGGAAAAACTCAAACTTTTTGGCCAACCCAAAGTATTGTATTCTAAATTGTTTATGTTCTTGGCTCCCTCAGAAGATGTTCCCTTTTGGAAGGTGAGGGGTGTTTAAAAAAAAAATTTTTTTTTTTGGCCATGCTACATTGGCATGCGGGATTTTAGTTCCTGGACCAGGGATCAAACCTATGCCTCCTGCAGTAGAGTCACAGAGTCCAGTCACCACTGGACCACCAGGGAAGTCCCTATCCCCTTTGTTTATCACAGTGCCTGGCACAGAGCAGGAATGCAGAGGGTGAGTGGGGTAAAGTTCATAGTGTGTGATGAGGGCCCTTGGAAGCTGAAGAAGAGTGTTACAGGGTTGGGGTGGCAGATAGTGGCACATTGGAGGCATAGTGAAAGGGGTATAATGGAGAGGAGACAGTGAAAGAAGAGATACCAGACCCAACCCTGGATCTTAAGGAGCTTGAACTGCAGTGGTGTATGTCTGTGAAGAGAAGATGAGCCAGCCAGTGACCAGGGTAATGGAAGTCTGCTCTTGGCCTTTGGCCACTTTAGCCTGTGGGCCAGGGAAGATCCATCCCACCCCCGTATCATTAATTCATTTATTTAACAAGTATTTATTGACGCTTACTGTGTGCCAGGCACCCGTTTTCGGGGCTTGGCATATTTCAGTAAACAAGAGACAAATCCCATACGGTAATGGAACTTACATTCACATGATCACTGGCAGTCACGAAGGCTAATTACAAACCAACCCCATTGTGAAGGAGGTTATAGCCACCTTAAGTGGCAAGGTGAGTGAGCCCAAGATGGGCCGAGATGTCCTGATGGCCTTGAAGTCCTTTGTGGCCCCCACCCCAGATCAGCTTCCAGGCTGGGGTCAATAGGCAGGTTTACCCACCTTCCCTTCCCCTTAGCTCAAGTGAGAGTCAGGGCTGTGAGCATGTAACTCCAGAATAATGCATCTATCAACATGTCAGCCTTTTTGGAATACCTACTTATTTCCACTGAGCTATGTACCCTTTTTTTTAAAAAAAAAAAAAAAAAAAACCACCTCTGGGCCTTAGTATTTTTTCTGGGAGAACATGATGAAAAGTCATTCTGTTCTTCACCTACCTGGCGACTCTGACAGCAAAATGCCAGTAAGAATTCCAGGATTCCTTCTCTCCCTGAGTTAATTGAGGTTTAAAGCAGTGTGGGCAGCCTCCCTCAGGCCAGATGCACACTGTGCTGTGTGGGACTTTTTGACTGATTCTTTCTAAAATTAGATTTCCAAGACTTGTGTGTATGCCCATTTACATTCCAGTTCTGAATGTATTACTTGATATATTTATTTTTGTCCTCTCACTGAGTATATTCTAGGATGAAGCTATTCATGAAAACATAAATATGGTACCTGGGGGCTGTCAGACATACTGAAATTACTTTAAAAAAATTTTATTTTATTTTTGACTGCATTGGGTCTTTATTGCTGCACAGGGACATTCTCTAGTTGCAGCAAGCAGGGGGGTACTCTCTGGTTGTAGTATGCGGGCTTCTCATTGCAGTGGCTTCTCCTGTTGCAGAGCATGGTCTCTGGAGCATTCGGGCTTTAGTAGTTGTGACATGTAGGCTCAGTAGTTGTGATCCCTGCGCTTAGTTGCCCCGTGGCATATGGAATCTTCCTGGAGCAGGGATTGAATTCCTGTCCCCTGCGTTAGCAGGCAGATTCTTAACCACTGGACCACCAGGGAAGTCCTGGAGTTACTTTAGAGTCATGCAGGAATTAGTTCAAACAAATGATGATTTTTTTACTTCATTAATTTTTTCAAAATATTATTTATTTATTTACTGCACCTGGTCTTGGCTGCAACCTATGTGAGATCTTTTAGGTATGGCAAGCAAACTTTTAGTTGGGGCATGCAGGCTGTAGTTCCCTGTCCAGGGCTCACATTGGGAGTATGGAGTCTTAGACATGGGGCCATCAGAGGAATCCCAAATAATGACTTTGAAGTGAGGCGGCAGGCGGGGAACTCATAGAGGAAGTCTGGCAGCAGTCTGCCGAAATAGAGGGAATGCAGGCTTGGCATCAGAAAGACCAGGGTTTGAGCCTGGACTCTGCTAATTGCCTGGATCTTGAACAAACCCACTAATCTCGCTAATCCTCTGTTTCATTATATGTCAAACAGTGGTAACAACACCACCAGGTTGATGTGAGGATTAAGTGAGATATGCATTTAAAAGCACTTTAATAAACTGAAAGGCACAGAACAAACGTTCATTCATTCAGTGAGTGGTGAACAAGGATATTTGGACGGAGCTTTGCTTTTGTTATTGAAGGGCTACAGAGAAGGAGGATGCGAGCCTGGTCTCTTAGAACTGATTTGGAAGTCTTCCCAAGGGTTGCTACTCATTTATCCACAGGCTGGCGAATAATGATTTGAAGCAGGTTTTTTGCTTTCCGGATGCAGCGGGCATTCCTCCTGAAGGGTGGACAAGGACACAGGCCTTGGGGTCGGACAGCCATTGGCTGAAATCCTACCTCTGCCACAGGTTAGCTCAGAGGCTCAGCAAGTTTCTTAACCTTTTCAAACCTCAGTTTCCTCATTGGTAAAATGTTGTTGTTCATTCGCCAAGTTGTGTCTGACTCTTTCTGACCCCATGGACTATAGCATACCAGGTTTCTCTGTCCTTCACCATCTCCCAGAGCTTGCTTAAACTCATGTCCATAGAGTCGGTGATGGCATCCAACCATCTCATCCTCTGCCGCCCTCTTTTCCTCCTGTCTTCAACCTTTCCCGGAATCAGGGTTTTTTCCAGTGAGTTGACTCTGCATCAGCTGCAGCATCAGTCCTTCCAGTGAATATTCAGGGTTAATTTCCTTTAGGACTGACTGGTTTGATCTGCTTGCTGTGCATGGGACTCTCAAGAGTCTTCTCCAGCACAACTTCAAAGCATCAGTTCTTTGGCACTCAGCATTCTTTATGGCCCAACTCTCACATCTGTACATTACTGGAAAAATCATATCTTTGACTATACAGACCTTTGTCAGCAAAGTGATATCTCTGCTTTTTAATATGCTCTCTAGGTTTGTCATAGCTTTTCTTCCAAGAAGCAAATGTCTTTTAATTTTGTGGCTGCAGTCACTGTCCCCAGTGATTTTGGAGCCCAAGAAAATAAAATCTGTCACTGCTTCCACCTTTGCCCCTTCTATTTGCCATGAAGTGATGGGACTGGATGCCATGATCTTAGATTTTTGAATGTTGAGTTTTAAGCCACCTTTTTTTACTCTCCTCTTTTACCCTCATCAAGAGGCTCTTTAGTTCCTTTTCACTTTCTGCCATTAG